AATTCAAATAAAGTAAAATCGGAATTAAAGGTAGTGTCAAGCTTTGAACCAATTATTCCATGTAACAATACCTGTAAGAACACATACACAAGTATCACACGTTCTCAAGTTACTCAAACTCGTTTAGCGATAATATGGCTTTGCACTTATCATTTTTTCATAAAAGATTTTAAGAGAGAAACTCTAACTCTCTATTGAGGTAACACCACCTCAAAGTTCATTTAGATGAAGTTCTTCCAGTATTTTTGTTACCTTTAGAGATACTTATACTTATTACCGAACTTCATTAAGAGCTTGAAGCTCAACCCTCGTTTCAATAACAACCAGGACTATTTAATTAGGATACAATTATTACGGATTTTTATAATGTTGAAACTATCTACACATCAAATGACTTGTTGTTATCCTTTGAACTCGTGGATTACTTGTTAAGTAATAACAGGTAGGTTTGCTATCATTGGTGGACCTTTTATTTCAAGAGTTTAACCATATTCTACTCGAAGTAGATGCTATAAAATCTCTATTTAGAGGTTTAGTTAAATAATATGCTAAGTCCTCAATTGACTTTATATAATTTAGAGAAATTATTCCATCTATGATTTATTTTTTTATGTGATCATGTCTAAGACTCATATATCTAGACTTTTCATTGTATACCTCGTTATATGATTTTGCTAATGTGGCTTGACTATCATACATGATAAGTATTGAAGATATATTATTCGGTTCTAAAGATATATCATAGAGTAGATCCTTAAGCCACCAGTTTTTTTCCCGATTTCTGATAATGCTTCAAATTTGTATTCCATAGTCGAATGTGTTATACATGTTTGTTTCTTCGATTTTCAAGAAACTGCACCTCCTCCAACAATCCTTACAGCCATATAGAGTACCGTCAACCATAAAACGGAAGTTGTGTTCAGCGAAAATCCTACTGCTGAGTATGTAACGTCGAACAAGTTCTCCTATGCCATTGTAGTGGTAGGGGAACCATCGTATTCAAAATCAAACGACGATAGCTTAAGTTAGAGCCAAGATGTCGAAATTCTTAAAGCCCATGACAAATTCAATCACAAAATAATAAATATGCAACAAATCATAACATCAACTTATGAAAGGCAAAATTTATATATGATTGTGAGACAAAACTGGCAACTAAATTACAGTATATGAAAGGTGAAATTTAAATGGGCAAATAATAACAACATTTAAATGTATAAACATTGAAAAATGCTAGTGGTACATAATAGAATGTACCTAAGGGTGTACATCCCCCTCACATGGGGTGTGGGGTCCACTCGAATAAATGTTTTTTATTCGAGTGGATCCCACACTCCATGTGAGGGGGGTGTACACGCTTAGGTACACCCCTGTGTACCACTAGCACCATTTTAATAAAAATATAAAAGTCGTCAATTTCAAATTTTTAATTTTAAACGGGTCAAAATAAAAACGTAGGTCAAATCCATTTAAATTATAATTTTAAAACCCTTTTAAAATTCAAATTTAATACCTCCTTTCGAAAATCACATTTTGGCTCTAGATTTAAAATTATAAAAGAACCTTACAATTTAAAAATTAAAAAAAAAATTATAGAATAAGTCATTTCTTTTAAGATTGAAAATTGGCCATTTTTTTAAGGGGAAAATTCACATCTCAGATTTTATGTTTACCCTAATTCAAAAATGAGGTAAATTGTTTGAAAATTCAAAAATCAGGTTTTAATTTAATTAATTAAAAATATTTATTAAATAAAAATAATAAAATCACAGTTACACGATTAATGGTCACAAATAGGTCACATATTTATTTACTGGTTACATATCGTCAAATTAATTGGTCACGAATTATTTTGTGGTCACAAATCAAATATTTCGAGGTCACAGATGATTCAAATTACAGGTCACATTTTATCTATGCGTCACATAGATCACAGTTTATCGGTCACAATTATTTTTTAGTCACATACACCTAATTTTGTGTCACAAAGCAACCAAATAGTTGGTCACAGACGCCCAAATAATTGGTCACAGACACCCCTACCGGTCACCTCACCAACATGAGTATCACCGCGTCCAGCCACCACCATCATGAGCACCGTTACAAGACGAGGCAAGCGGCGCTCAGTTTCACGTCGCCGATAGAGAGAAGGCATACGATGGTCTCCAATGATAGAGACATGAGATGGTGAGAGAGTACAGTTACGAGAGACGTGAGAAACAAAATGAGATGGAGAGTGAGGGGATGGAAAGGGGGATTTTAATTTTTGATACAAACTTGATTTATGAATTATTAAACTTTGTACCTGATTTTAGAATTGTGGTTTTTAAACACCTGATTTTTTGTAATTTCCTCTTTTTTAATTGCATGCAGGGCCCATATTTTCATTATTTACAACCGAGGCTCACGGCTCCATTCAACAGGTTTTGCAGACCCCACCCCACCCCACCCCACCCCCCCATCCAAAAATAAAAGAGAAAAGAAAAGAAAAGGGCAATAAGTGTTTTTCTTTTCACAATAACAGTATACACGTGAAGCATCATTCCACCGCCTCAAGTAATTAACTATTTTTACAGTATGATGTAAAAATCATGTCCATTGGCGTTGGCCACTAGTTAATATTATATGCATTTGATTTTCATATGAAATTATACATGATATTCAATCCCATGTACAGGCAATGACAGCTATGCAAACAAATAACATCCGGAAGATGCCCGAGAGATGGATCTGGTGAAACGTTAGAGAGGGTGCCTAGCCGTGTAAGAAGAGATTAACACGAGAAAGGGAAAAAAAATGAACGTTTATGAGAGAATGAGATAATATTGGGGATGTGATTGCAGGTGATGGATCGGGGGTAAAATAGACCTAGAGGCAATGCTCATAATCTTATTGAAGGGGTCGCAATAATTTATACCAAAAACTCCAACTTCTCTATGAATAATAACTTCTTCAATGATTATTGTTTTATGAATGATTCTGAACTTAGTATGGAGTTCTGATATTAAACAAAAATCATTCGAAGAAACAAATATCATAATTCTAAATTAATAGTTTAAGATCCATACTTGCATAAGATATTGTGGATATGAATACTAGTAGCTGGATCTTCCTTTCCTTATTATTCAAAAATATTAACCGTCAATGGGACAAGCCAATAAAACGATATGGAACAAAGAGGGGACCCAGCTTTTATATAAAAATTTATTGAATCGTCCCATTAACGACTCCGACCTAATTACGGTTTACATATTTCTTTCCCACATACTTAAATTATCACATTATGTTCACGTATGGTAGCAATTTTTCACTCAAAAAAATCAATTTTTAATCGTTATTTTAATATTCCAGTTGTTATTTTTTTTGTTGGATATTGGTTAAATAAATCGAGAACTGAAAATCGATTAAAGTGACTTCGTATCGACTTCGACCAAATACTCAAAAGCTCGACTCAATCCGTTTAAGCAAAATTGTTTGCCACTTCGCCGCTTCGGGGCGCACAAACGGGGATCGACCTGCCCGGTCAGGTCGCGAGGGTCGAGGGGGCAGCGCCCCTCGTGGGGGGTCGGGGGCAACGCCCCCGAAAGAGAATTTTGATTTCTCTGCATGTATTGAAGGGTATATTTGGCATTTCGAAAATCAATATCGGATGAATGAGAAATTACGAAAAAGGACGAAAATCAGTGAATAGACACCTTTTCATAAAGGTGGTGCATTGTTTGGAAAGGGTGCATGGTTTGGCCCCAACCATTTCGTCCACACCCTTTCATGGTCTATAAATAGGACCCTTTGGGTGTCCTATTCCTCACAGTTTGATATGCAAAACGTCTCTCATCCTCTCTTCCATCCAAAATCAAAATCATTCATTTATTTTGATTTTCTTTCATTTCATCCTTGGAGTACATAAGCCTAAATTTGGTTCGTTGTACTTGTGTTTTGGAGTGCTACAAACACAAGTGTAGCCGTTGTATCTTGAGAGTCGATTGCCGAAATCCGTAGGCACCGTTGCGGGGCAAATTCGACTTAAGGACAAAGAGTTCAACTCTTGCCTCGGCTTTGTCCCTATCTTTATACTTATTTTTGGCGTCTCTATTCACAAAATTCTTCCAACATTTTTCACTTCACTACTCACGGGTAGGATCCACTTTTCTCTCTAACGGTCAAAAAATCAATTCTTATAATCATTACCGAACATGCCCTATATAAGATATAACCCGTAAGGTGTAAAACGGTCTAAGTGATCACTTAACATATTGGGCTTAATCATGATATCATTATGAGCCATACATCTATGCCGTAAAATTTGCAATCAAATGGGAAGCCATATTTTAGAATTAATCTAACATGTGGTTCTCTGGAATGTGCTCTTATCACTGGTCGTCCAGTAGCGATTCAACCAATTGATGCCCTAGTAGATGCTTGGCTCCCGGGAACTGAAGGCCAAGGTGTCGCTGATGTTTTATTCGGGAACCACTGTTTTACAGGCATGCTTCCAATTAATGCTGGAGATTTACATTATGACCCATTATTCACTTTTGGATATGGACTAACCACAGAAACCAGAAATTCCATATTGGAGGATAATGATCTATCAGCTTATCTATTCTTTCACATTTGGGATAATAGTGTCCCATGATTTGTGTTTTAGTTAGAAAATATATAAATGAAGTAAAAGAATGAAGAAATATTTAAGTTTTATCTGAATTTGTTTATCTTGAGATAGTTTTAAGTTTTAGACAAGATAATTTAGCCTCTGGTTGACAACACATTATTTGAAAACTTTTTTTTTCTTCGCACCCATTTTCAATCACACATTCAAACAATAAAATATTCTATATGTGAACTCAAAACTTTTTCTTATTTTTTAACCTCACGTTCTCCTAAAAATCACTATTCAAAATATTGTATTTTCCAAATAATGGTCTTGAGACAGGGGCTTAACATATCACAACACACGCAACCTAATTCTAGTCTCATCAAGAGCCAACCCAGAAGCAAGAGAAAGATGCAAACATTTTCCCTCCGTTTTTGTAAGTAGCATGCCAATAGCAATACACGAATGAAATGCGAGAGAGAGTACTTTATTGTAGCATTAGATATACAACGTATAAAACAGCCAGACAGTTTTTAAACGATTTATATACATTATCAGTGAGTACTAAGCTACCTCAGCTGCAGCAGCTGCCACGTCTTGAGCATTATCCTCTGAATCTTTGGTCATATTAGTATGAACATGGTTCTAATCCTCAGCTTCCTTTATCAGCCTCAAGATGTCAGCTTTTTTTTCCAGAAGAGCTTCCATTTTAGCATTGATCTTCTCTAACTTCTTCTTCAACTTGTTGAGATCTTTGGCATTGTTCTTCTCTTCGAGCTTATGTTTCTTTTCGTCCTTCATTTCCTTGTCTTTTTCTTTCTTGCACTTCTCTCCCTTTTCTTTGTTTTTATCCGCAGCTTCAACATCTGATGTTTCCCCATTTCCATCTATTTTAATCTCCCTAGACGTGGCTTTAGTTTTAACCGCATCTTCATCTTTCTCATCCTTGTTCTCGTGTTTCTTCTCTTTCTTGTCCTTGTGTTTCTTCTTCCCCTCTTTTTCATCTCCAGTTTCCTTGCTGGATTCTCCTTGTGACTCCTCATATGAAACTGTCTTTTCTTTATCCTTCTTGTCTTTCTTGTCCTTGCATTTCTTTTCCTTACCTTTTTTCTTTTCTTTTTCTTCTTTAACTGCCTTGCCTTCACACTTCTCTCCCTTGGATTCCTCATTCGATTTTTCCTCTAAATCCCTTCTTCCTTTTCCTCCCATCAATTTGTCCTCCTTGTCTTTCTTCTCCTTATCTTTCTTCTTTACCTTCCCTTCACTTTCTTTTCCCTCATCCTTCTCTCCATCCTCGTTGAATTCTCCTTCAAACTCATCTGCATCTTTGGATTTCTTCTCTTTATTGTCTTTCTTCTTAGCATCATCTTTTTCCTCCTTGTGATTCTCATTTTTCTTCTCTTCTTTATCATCATGCACCTCTTCGCTTTCAGCATTACGCTTATCCTTTTCCTTGACACTGACACCTTTCTCTCCATGCTTCAGTTCTTTCTCTTCTACGCCACTCTCCTTCTCTTCAACAATTTTGTCCTTTTTATCTCCCTTGCATTTGTCCTTATTTTTCTTCTTTTCTTTTTCCTTATCTTTGTCATTTTTCTTCTCTTTCTTCCTATGTTCTTTGGACTTCTCTTCATCGCTACAATCCTCACACGTCTCCTGTTTCTTCTTCTTCTTCTTTCCCTCCTTTTCTTCCTTTATTTTATGCTCTTTGTTGTTGGAATCTCCATCTTTCTCTTTACTCTTCGATTTCTTTTCATCATCCTCGTGTTTCTCTTTGTCTTTCTTGTGAATTGGCTTTTCCATCTCTACTGACTTGGTATTTAGTTCTAGTTCCACCTTCGCCTGTTCTTCTACTTCATCAGGCTTCTTAATATCATTCACAACTTCGAGATGAAGCTTTTCCTTCTCCACCTTCTCTTCGTTTTTAAGGACTTTATCAGATTTGTCTTCCATCACCAGATTTTCCTTCGAAGCAACCTGATAAAAAGCCAGAGATGTAACATCTGAAAATCGGAACCAGATTGTATAATACAAAGTTGATCACAATGTAGGAGCAGGCATAATCCGGTTCGGTAAATGTATAGCAAGAACTCGACTGAAATGTGCAAAATTTAGAAGTCGGACTGTTCTCAATAGAAGAGCAAAATCAAACAAACAGGTTCTTTTATAATTAGAGATTCTAAAATGTTAGATTAAGCGTAGGGCGTACATAGAATCATTTAACCAACCTTGACATAATTTAAAAAATTGAAAAAATAAAATACTACTCAGAAGAAAACTGATCCAGTAACCTGTTGATTCTCGGTTCAGAAAAGATCAATTATATGTAAGTTGTTCATGATACTAACATATCTTAGAAATGAATGAAGAAGTAACAATACAAGCAGTAGATGCATAAGGAGAATTATCAGTGTCACCATGTGATCATATTGTAAATAATGAATCCAAGTTGAGAAATTCAAGCGACAGAAAGTCATCTTTTACTACAGAGACAAAATTTTCAAATTGTCATGGAATATGCCAAGTGGATTTGGAATTACCAAGAATTGCAACTCATAATTTACAGAAACAACAAATCAAAAGAGCAATACATGATGAATTGGACAACTAAAAATCAAAGTATTCGTAAAACAAAAATTACTCTCTTTTCCTACAATATCATCACTTCGTAAGCCTTTCGTGCGATTTTTCCACATTTATCAACAAGACCATTGCCCATATGGGGTTTCCTTTAGAGGATTTGTCAAAAATAAACTTTTTTAGGTTAATAACATTTTCAAGAACATGCTCCCACAATTGTTGTGCAAGCCGAATTCAGGAAATCGTCTGTAAAATCTAACAAACGAAACTGCATCGGAAGTTTTGAGAAATAAACTGCTGATAGTCATAACAGATGAACAATTTCTAGAACTGCAATAATTATTTCAATCTAATTAACCTATATAAGTAACCATAAAAGAAATCAAATCTACACCTTTTGAGTTCTTAAAATTCAATAGATTTCCAATTTTGGAAATTCCCACTGTAATCATTTATCTTGAATCAGTCAACACATCAACACAACCCTATTTTCATACTTCCCTAAACATTATCTGAAAAATTTCCAAGCCAATCAATAAACCCGAACAATTTTCAGCACAAACAGATCGTCCCATTTCTTAAAAAGAAGAAAGATTGAACATCAAAGCATATAATCTTTAAAATATTCTGGTAAGAACAAGATCACAAGCCACTAATCTCGGTGATAACATGGGAAAAAAAGAGCTAATCAAATATCAAAATTCGATTATTTTTAACAAAACCCAGTAGGAAATTACCTGAAATAAATAAAGAACTAGAGTAAGACCTCTGTATATATGCACCTAAGCTTCAAGAAGCTTTTGCCCAGATGAGTAACAATCCCGTGGTTCTGGATTTACTTAGAAAATGGAATAGAATACTGATCATCGACGTATTCCGAATTGGGCTAATTATAGAAAATCGGGACAGGAGAATAGTTAATACATGACACCTTGCAAGTTGCAACTTTCACCACCAATCTGTCAAAACTCATAGATGTGACTTTCCATTTGTTTGGTGTGATGGTTTAAATACTTACTTCCTCGCTAAGGAAAAAAATAGTTGAGATTTCAGCTGTTTCTTTGGCTGTCCCTACTCGCTCCACATTCAGTGATACAATTGTTAGTGTACAAACTGATGGTATGTATTATAAGTAGGATAATTAACACGTCTTTACATTTTAATATTATTATATAGAACGTCATTATTTTTCATTTTTTGATATTTTCATATTTAATTACACTTTTGATTGTGCAAATAGTCCTTTCATCCATTTTCCATTAATTTCTCCGTTAATCAACCCAAAAAAATCAATTTGACCACATTTTTAAAAGCGGAATGGATTTACTAGTTACTACGTTAAACTATTAAAATAATTAAATTTTAGAACTAAAAACAAAAAAAACAAAAAATGATTTTCTTCTTTATCACCCTGAGGCCACCCACGCACAAACCAACCCAAATCAAAATCATTCAGCCCATCTGTCACCACTAGCGCCAACATAAATCACTTTCAATGGTCGGCATTAACACCCACCGACGTAAATCAATCCACCCATTTCTCAGGTATCATGTGCAGTAGACCATGTGCAATCTGGGAACGTTGCCCTTCAGAAGGCAAAGAGTTACAAAAGAACTCCAGGAAATGAATATGCTTTGCTATCCTCATTCTTCTCATTCTTGTTGCAGTTATTGTAGTGGGTTTACTCAAGCAATGGAAGAGTGACAAGGGTGCTTAGTTCTTCACCACAAAGTGAAATGTACAAATGTTAAGGGCGTGCCTCAAAATTAGGTTTTGGATTCTTCAAGATTGTATATGAGATTTGGAAAATCAATTGAATCCAAAATTAAGGAAATAAAATCTGGGCTCCGATTTTTTTTTTCTTTTTACATGATTTTCCTTAATTGTAATTTAATTTCTTACATTTTAGGACTCTATTAAGGTTATGGACATGGCCTATAAATTAAAGGCTCCTCTGTCAGTTTTATAAAAGCTTTTTTGCTATTCAGCTGTAGTCTCTCCATATTGTCGAATTTAATAAAATTTATCGTTCCTCTACTTAGTTTCTCTTTTTCTACTTTACTTTAATATTGTTTTCGTGGTGCGATCTTGAATATTTCATTACTGCCATTAAATCTCAATCTTGCATCGCCTTTGGGATCAACAAGTGGTATCAGAGCACGGGTTGCAAGTTCTTCGTGATTTGGTTGAGATTTTTCAAGGATAAATTCGTTCAAGTATGAAATTTCGATATTGAATCGCAATACAAGATTTTCACTGTGGCAAGTAAATGTGAGGTATGTTGACGCAGATGGATCTTAACGAAGCTTTGTTGGGTTTTGAGAGGATGCCAGCAAATTTATCTATTGAGGAGAAATAACGGTGGGATCGAAAGGCTCTAGTGCAGATTCATCTTCACTTATCCAACAATATTCTGCAGGATGTTTTGAAGGAGAAAACGATGGCTACTTTGTGGCTCAAGCTGGAGCAGTTGTGTATGATAAGAGTCTGACGAGCAAACCGATTCTAAAGCAGAAGATGTATTCCCATTGTATAGCGGAAGGAGGGTCACCGCCGGACCATCTTGTTGTGTTCAAGGAGATTGTTGCAGGTTTGGAGACGTTGGAGGTAAAATATAATGAAGAGGATCTGACATTGATCCTGTTGTGTTCGCTATCCAGTTCTTTTTCATCGTTTCGTGATACTATATTGTAAAGTCGGGACACGCTGACCATTGAGGAGGTATATGATACCTTGTTCTCAAAAGAGAAGATGGAGTTGTTGGTTGGAGATCCTACATCTAGGGGTTGGGATACTCTAGTTACTCATGGTGATCTACGGAGGGGTAGATCGAAGGCGATGTACATCAATGTGTATTGTTATTACTGCAAGAGGAAATGACACATTAAGAAAAATTGTGACAAGTTGCTGGGTAAAGATGATTTACATGCAAATCATGCGGAGCAATTGGGTAACGAGACTAACATTGTTGAAAATTTTTCAGATGATGGAGATGTAATATTAGCTGTATCTGATGGGGAATCCAAACCTGGAGAATGGATTTTGGATTCTGCATGTTCGTATCATATGTGTCCCAATAGGGCTTTCTTTCAAACATATGAGATGGTAAAGTAATATGGAGTTGTTATGGGAAACAACCAATCTTGTCGGGTTGTAGGAATCAATTGGGTCAGATTGAGGCTACAAGATGGGACAGTGAGGACACTTGATTAGGTTCGCCATATTCCAGACTTGACAAAGAATCTAATATCGCTAAGTACCTTGGATGCAAAAGGGTATAAATTCTCTAGTGGATGTGGAGTCTTGAAGGTTCAAAAGGGTGTCCCGGTTGTACTGGAGGAAATCCCAATTATATATCTTGCAGGGGAGCGCACAACCAGTTAATAGACATCTGGACAAGTTAGTATCGTGGTGAATATTCAATTTGATACAGTACCTCTCGTGTTTGGCTCTGGGTCAATTAAGAACTTTGCTCATGGGAGTGTTGATGATTTTGTTTTGCCATCAATTTTAGCGGGTACACTGTGTTCTTGTGGTGCCAATGGACTCATGGAGTGCAGTTATAGTTTTGAAAATGTCTGCGATGCCTTAGGGATCGTTGAAGGTGACAGTTTTGATAAGGGGCCTTTGATCAAGCACTTGGTATGGTTTCTGCTATAGGGTGTGCTTCGACCCTATTTGGTCAAAAGTAATTCCTTGGTAGAATTTTGGGAACCTGGGTTTGGGTTCGGGTGTCGCTTGTGGACGCCGTGCAGAGGACGATGGTTTGGTGATGGAGAGTTTTGTTACTGTGTTGAGGAGATTGATCAGTTCATTTCAAAGCAGATGGATTTGAAATCTTGGAGTTTCATTCGTTGCACTCGAATTTTGAGTTAAAATGGAGATTGTTAAGGGTGTACCTCTAAATTAGGCTTTGGATTCTTCAAAATTACATATGAGATTTGGAAAATCAATTGAATCCAAAATTAAGGAAATAAAATATGGGCTTCGAATTTTTTTTCCTTTTACGTGATTTTTCTTAATTGTAACCTAATTTCTTACCTTTGAAGACTCTATTAGGGTTATGGACGTTGCCTATAAATTAAAGGCTCCTCTGTCAGCGTTTTAGAAATTTTTTGCTGTTCAATTGTAATTTCCCCATATTGTCGGGTTTAATAAGATTAATTATTCCTCTACTTAATTTCTCTTTTTCTACTTTACTTTAATCTTGTTTTCATAGTGCGATCTTGAATATTTCATTATTTCCATTAAATTTCAATCTTGCATCGCCATAACAAAAACAAAAATGCTATTCAAATTGTTTTTTTCTATACAATTACTATTCTTTTACTTTGGGGCCAAAACTTGGGTACACATGCAAAATTGTATTCTATTTATGCATATCCTTTTACATGCATATTGTTATATTTTGTGAACTATTCACATTGTTTTAGCCCCTCTTTGATCGCCATCATTTGGCAAAAAAAAAATTTTAAACAATGAAATTTTGGAAAATATATGGTTAAAAAGTAGAAATATTTTATTGTGTGAATGTATGACTAAAAATATGTACGTGGAGCAAAGACTTCAAATAATAATTGTCAAATAGGGGCTTAATCTGTACTTTGTAAAATTGATTTATCATTCTGGGATAAAAATATATTTATTCTTTATTATGTATCAATACCCTTGAATTCATTGTTCAACATCCATCTGGTCAGTAGATCTTAACATCAATTTCAAAAGAAATTATTTCTGCTACATGTTAACAGTTATATGAACTACAATGATATTTCTGAAGCAGCAATAAAATACAATTTACTAGTGATGAATAAAATAGCCCTATTATAGGTACAAACACGAACTTCAGAACATATTTGGTACATTAATCTGGATAGGAATGAATAAGATAATGGGCCGTCCCTCTAGTTTAATGTTCCAAACATGTCATTAGACTTTTTAGAGCCATAACTCTGTACATTAAAATGTACCAAAGATGCCACTAGGTTGAAACTCTTAAAAGAACTTCGTTGGAGCCATAAATCATACATAACATAACCATGTAAAATGCATCATGATCAACTGGTGAAAGGTGCAACTGGAATGTCCTCTCACCTTCAACAGATTCCTCTGTAAACTAAATGTTCTTCAATACTTATTCCCTTAAGGATTTTCTTCAGAAGAGGGATGTCTAATGTGGCAACAACTACTGAAAACTCTACCAGTCTAATATGTCCTGAAAAGGAAGATCATAATGGTTGGCAATTATAACAGGGACACACCTGTAATATAGAGCATCGCCAATATGAGCCATATTGACTTCAAATACTTGGAGGCTGAACTTGCTCGCTAAAAGCTCCTCAGGGTGTGGACCGATATCTCAGAATCATCTCTCCATACTTGAAGAAGCATCTCACGTACTTGTGAGTTCATCGATCCATCGAAAAAGGCCAGGCTTGTCCTATAATTTATCAATGGGACATTGAGATATTCTCAGCCCATGTAGTAGAAGCTAGACAACAAGCTTAAGTCTTGTCTTTCACATGTAGTTTTGGAGTGTTCTTAGTTAACTATAAAGGTACAAAGTACTGGTTATACGTTACATTAACTTTCTTCTCTCAAAGGAGTAGTTAATATCCCAGAAAGCCCACACTACAACAGCAAAAGCCATGACACCTACTACAATAAGGAAACAAAAGTACTGTCGATGAAACCCCCTAAACTCGACTAGATGAGTTTGTCTTACTTTTATCACATGGCAATTGTTAAAACAAATTTTTTGCACATCAATTCATGTAGATAAAAGCCAAGGCTTCAACGCATCAAGCATGTTTTTTAGATAAGGAATAAATTAATTCTCAAAACAGGGTATACATCGAAATGCAACTGTGCATTTCCAGACAGAAGTATAAGCCCACATAAATTTGCATTTGAACGGAAAATTCAATAGAATTAACCATAGGTTGGAATGACGAATTTCAGTGCTCTCGTGAATAACAATTTTGTCAGTTTTGTTATATGGAATTTATTTCTCTA